ACTGACATGCGTGCGTCCTCGCACGCGCTCCATCACAATTTTAGTTATCTGTAGACAAAAAAACATCGTTCGACTATCCTGACATAACAGCGTCTGGTCCGGTATATATTGACCCTTCAGACTTGGGTGATAGTCTGTTTTGTTCTGGCAGTAAGCCCTACAAAACTTTAATCATTTTTATGTTTGATCGGGATGATTAGTCTGTAGCTTTTTCTATTTTCTCTATTTTTTTTTCAAGTACTGTTTTCGCTAGTCCGGAATCACTATTCCCTATAGCTATATCACTGGACCGGCACAAAGCCCTGCAATGATTGTAAGAACTATTCTTTTTTCTTAATCTTTTTTTTTTCAGTACTATTTATGCTAGTCCGGAATCACTATTCCCTGTAGCTATATCATTGGACCGGCAAACGCCCTGCAATGATAGTAAGAAGCACATTTTTTTCTTACTCTCTTTTTTTTTCAATTCAGTATAGAACAGTTACAGACCAAACATACCGCAAACATGTCCCCGTCACAATCACACAAAAGTGTATCGTGAGGGACGTAGTGACACGATAACACCTAAGTATGTAAACCAACAGCAACCCTACACATATCCCAGTGCAGCACAGACCAGCCTCCCTGCAACTTCATGTTCCTGTCCTGCTCTAGAATAATTACTTCGTTAGAGTGTTGCAATGTCTCTAGTATTTTCTAGATGCACAGACACGGCTACCTCTGACTGCCGCACGTCCTCGTGCGGTTGACAGTGAACAGCATACGGTCTATCAGTTAACACCACCTGCTAACAGATATTAACTCTTGTTAAATATTACAACGGTCGACCATCCCAGACTTCATTTAAGTCTGGAACGCGCCGTTATGGCTACCTCCAGGCAAACGCACTACAGCTTTTCGTTCTGCTGCGTTCGTGCCACATTCACGCCAGCAAGCCGTCGCGCCGTACTAGCGCTAGCGAATCGTCGCACTGCTTTGCAAAATTAACAGAAATCGAGATAAATGTATTGAGAACTATGGAATTCCGAGCTTCCAAAATTCATCACATATTCTCTTAAGAAACGGCAACTGTATGACATTTGAAAACATTGCAAAAAAAAATGGAAACTATGTGTAGAGACGGATACCATCACATATTTCAAAGGGAAGGAGGCAACTGCGCAAAATCTACGAAAGCCGACCAAGCCTCAGACGTTCATTTACAGCACCAAAGGACCATGTGTTCGGCGGCCGCTTGAATTGCCTTTCCGTAAGATCTGCTGATAAGTTACGTACTGTAGCGGTGTAGGCTCAATTTTACTAGCGCTCAGCCGTACCTGACCATGTTCGATTAGCCGTCACAACATCTTCCTCATTGATCATTGATGTAGAGATTTTTACGAATCTCTCGACATCAAACCCCAATATTGTCGACCACACAGTATTCGGAGCAAACTGCAACACTGATCAACACATTAGAACACAAAAATGTTACTTATTATTTTCAATTCCTAGCATGTTAAAGTTAATCCTTTATTTTGGTACATCGCTTAAACGTTTTGAATTTCAAAATATAACAGATGATAATCATGTTTTGCATGAACTATCAAATTACAACAAAACTTGAATAAGTTAATTTTTCATTCAATGTAAACGATGACTCGTCTAGAAAGCCTCCGACATTTCTTCCATTTGTTAACATATTTAGGTACGTCAGAAATAATGAAAATACTTGAGGGTACTTTTAATACAAATCGAACAAAAGGATTTATCTTTTGGCTTAAATAATTTCACTTTATCTTTTCTCTACACTTTAATGATACGACAATATCGTAAGTAGGACAGCTAATTTCATTGCGGTATTTAACATAAAAAGAGATCCATCAATGCGAAATGCATTATAGCTCTTACAAATGTAATAATTCTAATACTATTCGAAGATTATATGTGGGCAATAAGGGGGGACTTTATCCCACTTCTGATGTAGGAAGTATAGTGGGTTTAGTACAGAGACTGATTTTGTAGTTAGGAATAATAATTAATTCGTTTACACGAATTAATTATACAACGAGTACAGGATAAACTAGTAACGGAATACGACAAGCGCACCGTTCCACGTCAGAGCCAAGACTGTCTTAACGACGGCCGCTCCGTCCGTTTTATACAAGCAGGACGGGTTGCAGCAACGCAGGTGCAATGCCGCAGGTGTGCGGTACACGTGTCGTTTACAAGAATTCTGTCTAGCCAGACCGACGCCACCGCACCTACAACGGTGCAGGTGCCATCATATATATACAGTAATCTATGCAAATCTAATGTTTCTATAATTATAGTTTGTAAGTTTGTGCTAGGGATGGTCGATGTTGTAGAAACATCGATGTTGGCCATTATCGATGTTTTATTGCACATGTATTTAATAGGTTAGAATTAGATGAATAAAAAAATTGTCATGTTGTTTATGGTTTATGATTAATGAAATAAAAGAAATTAAAAAACAATATAGTATAGAACAGTAATTAAAAAAAAGGAAGTAGTTCACAATCATCTCATTCATTTGTTATATTGTCCAATATAAAAAGTTTGCCGATTGATTGAAGAAATAGTAATTTTGACAAAGAAGTACCTACCAATCTGTTTCTTTGTTGCTAAAGAGTTGAGCCAGCTATTGAAAATAATTTAAAAATAACATTTTGTATAACTGACTTAAGGATAGCTCAAAAACTATTGGTCAGACTTATATTGGTCTAATTTATATGGGACCACATGTGAAGCACCAAATTTCAAATTAAAAAAAAGAATCATCGAAATCGTTTCACCCAGAAAAAAGTTATGAGGTAACACACATTTAAAAAAAGAACAAACAGTGGAATTGAGTACCTTCTCCTTTTTGAAGTCGGTAGATAACCGCTCATATGGCGCTGATGTAGCGATTGTGGTCAAATATCTCACCGCAAGTTTTCTTTTTAATTTTAGATAGGTAGAACCGATAACATTGTTCTAAACGTGCATTGGATCGTGTTTAAGATCAACCATCGATTTTAAAAAAAACAACCGATAAAGAAACAGATAACCAACAACGACACCAATAACAAACGAAATCAGTGACAATTGCGACATTACAGTTAACTCTTGACTGTTAAATTTGATACCACACAATGATATATTTTTAGGTTATCGATGCGTTCGAGCATTCTGAATTATTCAAAATTTTAAATATTTTAGAGGAGATGCAAGATTTAGTTGATATTGATTTCGCGGATTCGCAAGTACCCAATAATCGATTATGGGTTTATTGACATCGATGTTTCGATGTTTGATATGTGGCAACATCGATGTTAAAACATCGATGTTTTCATTCTTGACATCCTTGATCATCGACTGGTATATAGTGTATTATCTATGATCATCGAACATCCCTAGTTTGTGCACAAACTAAAACTATATAGAAAAACAGTTTGTGGCATAGATAATACACTATATACCAGGGAGTTTGTGGTACGGATGTGACATTGATTGAAAAAAATCGATTATTAAAACACCGATTTTTTGCTTTGTGATATTAATCGATTAAGTAAAAATCGATTTTTATTAAAAAATATACGATATTTGGGAAAAAATTCTTTTATTCGAAAAAATGCCTGCTTTCCTATATATTAATTCCTATAAAAAAAACTATGAGAGTATAGTATCAACAATTTATCAGCATAAAAATTAAATAAAATGATAAGTATAAAACATCAAAACGACAATCTTCTGGTTTTAAAACTAAACTACAGAACAATTTTTTTAACCCATAATATTAAACAATAAAAAACTAAAAATAATTACTGCCACAAATATTCAGTGTCATCTAACAATTTATTAGTACCAAAATAAAAAGATACGATAAATGAAACTAATTTTTACAGATTTTATCGCGTTTAATTTAACTTTTTAATTGCTAACTTTTCGGGTGCTTTACAGCACGCACCATGGTCACGGGGGGACTGAGGTGTTTGACGTCCCTGTCATAGTTGAACCACAAGTTTCGTTTTTCCTGACATTATTTCCCGCTTTCAAAAATAATCGTTCGGCTGGCGCGGAACTGGCCATCACAGGGAGGTGTTTAAGAGCTAATTCGGTTAGTTTAGGGAAAGTTCCTTCAGAGCTTCTCCATATATTGAGGGGATCTTTAGAGCCTTGAGATTTGATAGTGGACCCGCAATATATAGATCCAATTCAGTATTTTTGCCTGTTGGCCGCTATCATTTATTCATTATAAAATACTTCTGTCAGTCACTTTTAGGCGTTTTACAATACATTTTTATTGTTTATATATAATTGTTTACACTAACTAAAGAAATAAAGAAAACCACAGAATACTTTTACTCCTAGCTGAGGAAGAAAACTGTTGAAAACATAGGAAAGGCGAAACTGTTTTACATACATAGAGAAACATAACGGTGGCGCCGTCTTTTGATCGACTTGTTCATGTTAGTTAACTTACTTCGCGTTTTTTCATCTGTCGCACAGATGACGCTGTTCTTTTGATTGACTTATTCATGTTTCTTGCTGGTTCGTCCCAGGATAGAGGGTTTTTATCGAACCAGTGGTAAAGTAAAAAATGACTTTCAATAAGAATTACACATGTAATGTATATTGAATAAAAAAATTATTCTATTCTGTTATTGAACTTACTTCACGTTTTTACATCCTTCGCACACATGACTCTGATTACAAAAATAGATTAAAACGCATAATTTATATAATCGCTTTTTTAAAAATCGATTTTTATTATAAAAAAATCGACTTTGGAAAATCGATTATAAGAAATAAATAATCGATTAATATGAAATTCGATTATTTTTTCACATCCCTAGTTTGTGGTACTTTTCTAATTCTATATAGTTTGTGGTGGTACTATTTCAATTATCAATCAAAGTTAGAGTTTATTTTTGATTTAAGTGTGATAGTGAATGTTTATTAGTGTAAATAAAGCCTAGTAAACACTTCAGAAAGATTATATTGCACCATTCATTAAAATGGTTAAACTAACTACAGAACTCATACAAAATTCTATGCAGTACATGAATCCTTGCAGAGACCGAGAATTAGATCTTAGAGGTTAGTTTGTCTAACGTTTTTCTTTTTTGTATAATGGTATAGCAGTAATATTATCATTTGTTTTATTTTCTTGAGTAACAAAGACTTATTGAGATCATAATTTTAGGTTACAAAATTCCACAAATAGAAAATTTGGGAGCTACTTTAGATCAGTTTGATATCATTGATTTTTCTGATAATGATGTGAGAAAACTTGACGGGTTTCCTCTATTGAAAAGATTAAAATGTTTATTTTTTAACAATAACAGAATTGTGTAAGTATGAATATTTTTTTTTACTGATTATAACAATCTTATAGTTACTGTTACAGCCTATCAAAGTCCACTGCTGAACATAGGCCTCCCCCATAGATTGCCTTATAGGGGGTTATTTGTTATAGTTGCAATGCTTGGCATGCTGGTTGGCAACCGCTGGTTTGAAAGGAAAAAAAGACTCTATGACATAAAGCCTCTGTGACATTTCATCTCAGTCCTCAGGATACAGGAGACAATGTATTTGTAGCCTTGTTTAAAGTTGGTATAGGTATCCATGAGTTATAGTAACTAATAACCATTAGGTGGATTATCTAATACTTAAATAATATATGAATAATGTTTGAAACATTTTATTTTGCCTATCCCATTTTGGGAAATTCAAAATGCGCATGTTATTAGTACTAATTGCCATTTGTTTGCAGGAGAATTGGTGAGAATTTGGAGCAATATTTACCAAATTTAGAGTCATTAATTTTAACGAACAATAATATTAGTGAACTGGGAGACTTGGATCCTTTGGCAACTCTCCCTAAACTTAAAACTTTATCACTGATGCACAATCCAGTTGCAAATAAACAGCACTACAGGTAATAATATGTTATGTCTGTAACTGCTTAAAACTTCTTTTACTACTACCATAACTTCTAATTTAATATTATATATTTTACCTTTATACTTGTGCATTTGTTAAGGAAAATCATTTGAAGCTAAAAATGTTTAATCTTTTTACTACTGGGTCACAATTATATTCATAACAATCTACAGAATTAACACTACCTGCTGAAAAGTGAAAAGGTTACAGACAACTGCTTCATACAAACAGATGTGATGTTCAGTTTATTTGTTATTTAAAACTTCTCTATTCACTTCATAATCTTTCTTTTATTTATTTATTATAAGCCAGTGCCTATTACATTATTCATTCATATAATATTCTTCATCTGATGCTGGGTAAGTAAGCAAAGCTACAAGATTTACATATTTTATAAAAAACATTATTTATTTATCAGCATTACCTATTTATATCAATATTAAGTTACATTTTTTTTTATAGGAGAGGGGCAAACCAGCATACGGCTCACCTGATGGTAAGTGGTTACCGCCGCCCATGAACAACTGTAACACCAGGGGAATTGCAGATGCGTTACCAGCCTTTTAAAAAGGAGTACACTCTTTTCTTGAAGGTCCCTCAGTCGTATTCGTCCGGAAAAATCTCTGGTGGTAGTTGATTCCACAGGGAAGTTGTGTGATGAAGAAAACTTCTTTTAAATCACAGTGGTTGACCGCCATCCAGATGGTATATATATCCAGTAAAATGAGTTAAAATAATGCATTACCACTCAATTTGAATTTAAAAGATAAAAAGGCCAGAATATTTGAGATTTTTTTAATTAATTTTTCTTCACCATTTGCTTATAATAGTTACTAGCTGTGCCCCGCGGTTTCACCCACGTATATCACGTGTCTGAGCCGGGCGACATGACGTGGACACTTAGTTCAAGTATTTCAAATAGCAATGTATGAAAAAGCGAGCGAAGATAAATTTTATGCACTCTCCCTTCCCTTCCTCAGTGAGCGTCACGCCCCCACCCCCATTATTTATCAAGAATCATTTCATACCTACACACTTTTTATGTATCGTGTACTGTTTTCTTTAAAACTGGAAAAAACCACGATTAGGGAGAGTTTTGGGGTGCGGGGGTGACGTTCACCCGGGAGGGAGAGGGTGAGTGGATAAAATGTAACTTTGATATATAACATACATATACCAATAGATTTTCTTCTATAGGATAAGGGTGACAAACGAGCACACAGTCCACCTGATGGTAAGTGGTTACTGTGGCCCATAGACATCTACATCTTCGATTAAGAATCAAAATGCAGATGCGTTGTCACCCGTGAGGACTAAGATGGAATGCCTCATTTCCAGTAAAAAGGGTCTCCGGTTCTCTACACTCACTATACGAAACACAGCAGCATTAAGCTGCTATTTTGCGCTGGTATTCTGGAGAGCTTGGTTCTTCCCCAGTCGAGCCAACACATTCGTGCTACAACTATACTATTAATATAGCTGCAGCATGGCTCTACCACGAAGATAGAAGTACTCCATTAATTTTGCGAATTTATAACCTAAAATAATTTTACTAACCTCGCCTAGTCGCCTCGCATAGTTCAAGCATTCATTGCCTGTTTCTCTTGGTTCTCACCGGGGGGCTAAGGTTTATGTATCGTTCGCGCACCGATTCGGGTGTTGAATTTTTTTAATTTTTCGTTATCTCTTAAACTATACGCCCAAACAACATGCTATAAAAAGCAGAGATTATCTTCATAAAATTGTCTTGATGATGAAGTAACTTTTGGCTCGTAAGGATTAATATGCCATGCCTAATAGTAACGCTCATATATCACTTTAATTTTCAATAATTTTTTGGCACAAAATACCTTATTTTGGCTTATGTGTAAGATATAGGCATATGGTACCGCGGAATTATTTTTAGATGAAGTAAAGATCTATATTTTTGTAGAACGTTGTATTCATGTATCACTGAACATTACGTCAGCGCACACAGATAAATTATTTCGGGAGCACTTTTTCTTCTGACTTGCTTAACAAAAATCAATATTTAAGGCTATCTGAAAGGTTTAGCCTAATGCCAGATAGCTTATACTCCTACCCTCATGAATCTGGCTGTAATATATAAAAAGACTTTTCAAATCTGACTGGTAGTTCCAGAGACTAGCCCGTTTAAACAAACAAAAAAAAACTCTTCCACTTTATTATATTAGTATAGATCCTGAATTTTCTCTGCAAATATGGCAGGTTATTGCAAAATAAACCTGTTGTATATTGGTTTTAAATATTAATTATTTATTTTATTATTAATTATTTATTGGTATGTTTATTTTTTCAGGGCCTATGTAGCTTTTAAATTGCCAGAACTAAGATTATTAGATTTCAGAAAAATTAAACAAAAAGAAAGAGATGAAGCAAACACTTTATTTAAAAGCAAAAAAGGCAAAGAACTACAAAAAGAAATTTCAAGAAAAGCAAAAACATTTGTACCTGGAGGAAACATGCCTGATCCAAAAGTTACAAGTTTGTACCTGCTTTGTTTTATCTTATGTTTATTATACAGTTATTTATACAGTTATCTTCTGTTTATTTTTTTATTATTTTGTAGTTTAATGGCAAAATTAATAATGTCCTCTGTTGGCAGTGTTACTTTTTTATGGATTCTAATACTCAAATGTCCAGAAGTCTAGCTACCGCTGTATCATTAATATGGGATTCCTGTGCTAGAAGAACCTGAATATATCTATACAAATAAATAAAATTGAAGTGTCTGTTTGTAATGTCAAAATAACAGCTTCTTACTAAATTCATATGAAAGTATTTATTGTACTTATAACAAAGAAACAATTTTTTAAATTTTCTCTGTCTGCCTGTCCGTTTGTTCCGGTTAATCTCCGAAACGGCTGGACTGATTTTGACGGGACTTTCACTGGCGTATAGCTGATGTTACAAGGAGTAACTTAGGCTATTTTAATTTTATAAAAAGAATTAGTTTCGTGCAAAAAAAAAAGAAAGAAAACCCAGATTTACTAACACAGTTACAGTCAATACCCTAATCCCTCAGTTTTGGATAAAATCAAGTGTGAAATTATTAGAAATATTTTTGCTATAAAATATTTTCAATAATTGAGCACAAAAAAATCAACACCCCATCTTCCTGTGGCGGCAAATTCGACTAGTCACTACATACTAAATGTATTATACTGAGTGTATAATCCCATAATTACTTTGTGTTCTCTGATAATTGGCAGTAAAATCACTTCATAAATATGCCAGAATTGTAAAATAACCATATATAACATGGCCTGCCTGAAACCTGAAGGAGTTTATATGCTTTTGTGAATATTCGTCTTTAGTAATTCTCTTAATTTCTTATGTGCAATCAAATTTGTTGATCAACTAGTCATATTTTGTTTTATTCCCGAACAAGAGAGATGTGTCTTTTAATAGAATGCGCTTCTATGTCATAATCTAATAAATAACTCAACTAGTCGAGCAATAAATCTTTGTATTTGTTTTGATCAACAGCCGTTTCAGCATGCATATACTATTTGCGCCAGATTGAGTATACTTCCACAAAAACATTCAAAACCACATTGTTTTGGGGGTCTGCTGTTTTACTGTGGACAATCTTTACCTGCAATAATCTGTCCAAAAATAGTGATTGCTGATAATTTTCCTCTAAAGGGAAGAGAAACGTGTGTCTGTTAATTTATAGGCTAATGTGGACATTGTTTAGCAATTATTGTACTTTTCAAATCATTGTTTACAGATCTTAACCCTCAAGAGATTCACAAGATCAGAGAAGCTATCAAAAATGCTTCATCATTGCAGGAGGTTGAAAGGTTAACAAGGATGCTGCAATCAGGGCAAATTCCCGGACAGAAGCCTTTACAACCACCTTCACAGACCAATGGTCAACGTAAGACTATTTTTCTCCTTTTTTTAAAAAAAAATAACGTTACCCCCACACTAGGATTTTCTCCTGTATCGTGGAGGCAGTTTACAAACATAAATTACATGAGGATAAACATCCAGACCTGGAACAATTATTTGTAGGTCATACAAATACTTGTTCCGTGCGGGATTCGAACCCGCGGCCCCCAGCGCAGCAACTCATTGCTAAGCCAATACGCCATGGAGCCGTCAGCATTGACATGTTACTCTAAGTATATTTTTCTTTTGAGATATTTGTGGTCAACCAAATGTGGGCGTAAGAGAATCCACTTCCCCATATCATCAGGTGGGTGTCGTTAGATGCGACATAGGGAAACTGCGTCAAGAGATGGGCAGCAGCGTCTTCTTGAGAACAGAACAATTAAAAAATTGCAGTTGGCAACAAGCCTATGTTAAGCTGCGTATGTGTGAACCTGATGAACAGTGAATGATGATTTATTTAATTCATTTCAATACAATCCAATTTTGTGTTGCCGGTATTGGCACTTGCTTATTAAACAGTTTTTAAATTTACTGTTAAAAGTTTAATTATACATTGATAGTTATAAAATAAGTAAATCGAAGTATTTCAATCATATATCCACTCACATTGATTTTATGGTTTCAGAAGATGAAGATGAAGAAATGGAGACTGATCAAGGAGGAAATAACTAAGAATATTCCTACCACTGAAGTTTTTTTTTTATTAGCTCTAAGAACAGATATTACATACAATATCTCATTGGTCGCTTATGTGTTGCAAAAGAAGAATACATCTTTAAATATTATTTACACATTTTGGCTGTAAGAACAGATAATACATGGTTTTAATAAAATGGTTTTCCCATTTTTATTAAGGTGATAAGAACAGATATAAATATCTGCATATTTTGCTACAAAAAACAGATACTACCACTACAAATAATTACTTAAAATATGATGAATATTGTCTTCGTAATTTATTATAGGCTTTTTTTTAAAATCATCAGTCACAGTCTACTCATGGACGTAGTTGTTTCTCGCGATAGCCATCTTTCGATTGGTGCTGTAGGTATCTCAGGACTCTAATTACTAATATAATTTTTACAGCATAATAAAATTATAATACCGAATTTCAAACCAAAATATCAAATTTTTAATGTTGTAGAGCCACTCTGCAGCTATTTTATGGTTGTAGCACGAATGGGTCGGCTCGATCGGGGTGGGACCACGCTTTCATAGAATACCAGCGTAAAATATCACCGTGGATACTGCTGTGTTTCGTATGGTGAGTGTTGAGAACCGGAGACCTTTTTACTAGAAGCGAGGCATTCCACATCAGTCCTCAGGGGTGTGACAACACATCTGAATTTTGATTCTTAATTAAGGATAAATGTAGATGTCTATGGGCCACAGCATCCATTTACCATCAGGTGGACTGTGTACTCGTTTGTCACACTTATTTTTTATAAACTCAAAATTTTACTAGAAAATTGAAAATTACTTGAAAATAAAATCTTCCTGGAATTTTTTACTACACTGTTGGACAAGATAAATTTTTGGTTATCTTAGCTGCAACTTAAAAAAAATATGATTGCCAAGCGTGGCAACAATGGCAAATAACCCCCATATGAGGTGATCTAAAGGGAGGCCTATGTTCAGCAGATGACTGATAAAATATAATTAATGAAAAACTATTGATAATATACTATCTCTTTAATATAGGCAACAATAATGGTTATTCTATTTATCCACCCTAAAACAGCCACCCTAAGGTGTATACTCGGAATACGCGTGTTCATTTATCCACCAGACGGTGATTTTTTTATTTTTTTCCGATATTCCCTCTCGGCTGTGTACAATTATTTATACAAACATGATAAATACTGTCCCAAGATACTTACTTGTTGTTTGAAAAGTCAAAACTGAAAAAAGGAGTGCCTCACAAGACTACAAATTCATTGGAATCATGGCATAAAGAACAAGTTAAACATCCAAAATTACTAACTTATTAGAAATTATTGCAAAAATATACATTAAAAGACACGAATATAACCAGGATATAAAATTACGGTTTTTTTTTTTTTTTATAGGAGAAGGGGGCAAACGAGCATGCGGCTCACCTGATGGTAAGTGACTACCGCCGCCCATGAACAACCGCAACACCAGGGGAATTGCAGATGCGTTGCCGGCCTTTTAAAAAGGAGTAGGCTCTTTTCTTGAAGGTCCCTAAGTCGTATCGGTCCGGAAAAATCGCTGGTGGTAAACTATTCCACAAGGAAGTTGTGCGAGGAAGAAAACATCTTCTAAATCGCACAGTGGTGGACCGCCAATCATCCAGATGGTGTGGATGGTATCGGGAGTTCTGTGATTTCTGAATCTGAATTACGTTTCCTCATAACAAATTTAGTCTTGGTGATTTCCTGAACATATTGCAGAATTTATATAATATTACATAATAATAATAATAATATTTAAAACGAGGAAGTTTAATTTGATTTTATTATATATACAATAGTAAAAAAAAACTAAAACTAGTAACTTAATTATCATACTCCCCACGATATCGTGCCAAGAACGCTGGCTGCGTTTCCTCCCTGAATGGACTATATTGTAATATTTCATTTAAATATGTATATAAAAATTGCTGTGCGTTAGTCGCGCTAAAACTCAAAAACGGCTCGACCGATTTTGATAAAATTGTATTTGAATGGGTCCCTAGATGGCTTAGATGTACATTTGGAACCGGTAGGTGTCACTGTTGTCGAGATCAAAAGTGCGAATCCAAAGCGGATTGCTAGTTCATTAACCAATAATTAATATATTATGTGTATATTTATTGTTGAACTGTACTTGGGGTAAAAAGCCGGGAGAACAATCAAAAGCAAACTCCGATTACAACCTCAGACGGGGAGGATAAGACGCGCGTTTCCAAGTATTCGCCATAGGGTGGATAAACTGAATAACCGAACAATAATATGAATCTTTCAACCGCAATGTGCTAAGTCTTGAGTCCTCGGCTGTAGTCGCTACAAAGTAAACGTAGCCGTTTATAGCTACATATAGGAATGATATAAATTGGCGAACATCATATTTAGTGACGTTAGGTATAGTAAAACAACTGCAAGGCTGGACAAAAAAGTTACTATAAATGAATATTACCTAATGCGCAATCGTTCCTAAATTAAAAGCAAAAATAGTATTTTTTTCTTCATACATTTGATAAGTTTGCTTGTTCAAGCCCCAACTGTCTCCGAAATCCTCAGAAATTCCCACAACCGATCTATAATATATAAAGATATGTCACGTAACATACGTACATAAACGCGCTTGTCACCTAGAGGGGTATGGAGAGACTATGGACATAATATTTGGTTTATTCGCTTCTTACTCCATATTTACGATACACTTTTATCAATGTGGGAGGACTTTGATAATAGTGTATTATTAGATATAACGCCTTCATTCCCATCAATATAACATCTTTAGGTATAATGTGAAAAATTGAAACCGAAACTGCACCAATATTATTCGTTTTATGTACACCACTTACTTATTTTTGAGACAAATAATAATGCCCACATAAAATACAGTCTATTACGTGTGTAAAATAGTGCTGATTTTGTAGGCAATTTCAAATACATCTCTTTCACACGAAATTTTAGCAAAATATTTTTATTTAATACCAAATAATATTAGCATCCATCTAGTGTCAACTGTTTCTATGCATGGTTTTAATATATTAATGCTCTCTATATATTTAAAACCATGAGAGGAAAGCATAACCCCCACGGAACTAATATTTGTATGGCCTATAAATAATTGTGCTGGATGTTTGTCCTTATGCAATTTATAAAGCACTTAAATTAATGAAAGTTCTAGTATGGACACTTTTTTAATTATACGACAATTGGTTATCTACACCAAATTGAATAAACTAAATAAAATGGTAAGAACTCAGACTACATCCAAAATAAGTCTTGTTGCGAATTTCCTATACTTTCCGCACGCGTACTTTGCTGTTTTTTAAATTTCGAAGACAATATGTAACATCATTTTAGTTCCGTCGTCGACGTCGGAAAATAATTTTAAAATGAATAAAAAATTTACATTTTTCACGTTAATTTGTTTTATTTCAATGATCATTTCTATTAATATTCCATTACATAAAATTAAGTCAGTTACATAAATTTAAATAATTTACAAGCTTTTGAATGTAATAGCTCATCATTTCCGGCGTCTAAAAAAACTGTATAGACTGTCGGCAGCAAAATAGAGCGACCCATCAGTTCCTTTATTGTTGGTCGTTTGTCAGGTACGATAGATAACATTAGGTCTATAAGGTCTTGAAGACCTCTGTCGTAGACAGTCATGTCAATCGGATGTACACTACCACTGGTTATAACTTTCACTAATCCCACGAGGCTCTGAAAAGAATATGACACCGTTCAAGCTTAATTAATTTATGATAATGTCCTTAAGTTTTCTTTGCTTTAAAAAAAACAGTAATCATACACGCCAATTAGAGCGTGCTTGCCAGGGGTATAAAAGTCCTCAGTAGCTTGCTTTTACGTTAATACTAGCGCCATATCATAGTCATCCAAAGTACTATTTTCCCCAATATTTTTACACATTTTATTATAAGATAGCGCTACTACCGGTATTCATTATTTATACTGAAGCCTAAATCATGCTATTGAAGTTTTGAAATACAGCGGTATATATACCTATATATAATAATTCTACGAGAATAAACGAATAAATTTAAACCATGCTCATCTAAAACTAAATGATAACTAATTTAAAACAATTAGTTATTAAATACATTTCCTATTAATTTTATTGAAATATGTACGAAATAATACTGAACCTAGTTGGTAGCGCCCTCTAGTGTAATTTTCAGTAATTTATAATCCCAACTCCATCTATAAGAGCGCTATAGAAACTTCCCTCTTTTCGTCACCTAATAATTTGTCAAAGTGGCTCATCTATACCCTATATAGTATATTATCTATGGTGCTAGCTCAGGAGATGAGTACGTAACTAGATACGTGAAATAGTAAAATGCAGTTTAAAATGCTAATTATGAACCAAAAAGAGTCGTATGTTTTAATAAACTTCTATAATAATTGATATTCGGTGGCAATAAAAGCATCCATCGACACATTTGTCCAGTGACTATAGAAATACCAAAAAATATTTGGCTTTCGATAGAAGTTGTATCTCGCCAGCAACGCAAAGTCAGGAATTTACACAGAAAAAGCCAAAATTAGGCAAATTAGGTGCCCTAAAATTTTCACCTTAATGAACTGTTGAAAGGAGAATGGGATTTTTGGGCCTGAAGTTAACTAATTTGTTTATACTTTAAAAAATTGGCCATATTTTTCTAAACTACAAAAACGTAGTTTAGAAAAATATGGCCAATTATTACAATAAAAATTTTGAAAAAACAATAAAATAAGAAATTAGTTAGAAAATCGATTGTAGTATATTATTTAAGACAATAAATCGATTACCATAAAGAATACACTAGTGAAATTCTCGTTTCTGAACGTTATCTTCCAATAGAGGACTTCTCATTTTGAAACTTGACAGTTCAAACTTCAAACTATTTAAGAAAAATACAGATTTTCGATTCGATTTGTAACGAGCGCAATATAATCGATTCTGCTTTTATATCCTTAAGTGATTATAGTGAAAAATAACCTGTGACAGTGTAATAACAGTGAAAATCACCTGTTACAGTGTAGATAATCTCACTTTTACTTATCCCACAATAACTCAGCTTCTTGACAATCCTTGCCAGATTTTCAGCTATGAATTGTTTATATATACGCTTTTAAATGGTCTTACTTTCATCTTGTTAACACTTGGGCCCAAGAATGTATGGAGACGTCTCCTTCTCCTTTGCGTTGCTGGCAAAACGTATCGCTAGCAACGTAGTGACAATAATATATACACGATAAATATTAAAAGCAAGGAATTGAGTCCTGAAAGGATTATTGAGGTCGGTCGGAGCATGAATATAAGGTGTTTTATTGACTTAAATATTTAATTAACAAAATACGAGCAATTATTGTAATTTAGGGAAACCCCCTATTGTTTATGGGAATATTGGAAAATTCGCATGTGACCATTTATTTTATATATTATTATTATATAGGCTATATTATGTTATAACATATATATATATATATATATATATATATATATATATATATATATATATATTAGTTATAATATATATATATATATATATATATATATATATATATATATATATATATATATATATATTATGTTATAATATATATATATATATATGTCGCTGCTGTGTTTCGTACGGTGAGTGTTCAGATCACTGAACGATATTAAGGTGAAAGCGCCAGAGTGGCCCACGAAATTCAAATTATCTTACGTTTTTTGGTATTTGCAGGTCAGGGTCAGGTTGTATTTGTAACAAAATATGATTCGCGGCCATAGCGAGTATACGTTTACAGAATTATAATCATTATAATCGTCAATACAACCCTTTAAGTTCATATAATCCCATTGTATGGCTATTTCCAGAAAAACTCATAATATCAACAAAACTCATTCAAAGGGATTATATGAACTTAGAGGGTGGTAGTGGTGATTTCAATGATAATAATTCTGTAAACACATACTCGTAACGGTCGCGAATCATATTTTGTTACAAATACAACCTGACCCTGACCTGCAAATTCCAAAAAACGTAAGACAATTTGAATTTCGCGGGCTACCCTGGCGCTTCACGCTTCACCGGTTTGGAAGCAGCAAAACCGGTCTGATGGCGGCCATTTGTTTATTCCTACAACATAGAGAACGTAACAGTGAGTGTAGAGAACCGGAGACCCTTTTTACTGGAAACGAAGCATTCCATCTTCGTCCTCGGGGATAGCAACGCATCTGCATTTTGATGATAAATGTAGATGTCCATAGGCCACATAGACTCGCTTGTCATATAAAAATATGATATATCTAATTATTTTTAACACCTAATAACTTATAGTTCTCCCAGAGTTGAATGGAAGGGAATGAAGTATTAAGGCATCAAAGTCCGCCCAATGTAACACTTACTTTATTCTGTCTTACAATAATGTATAAATAAATAAATCAATAAATAAAATCCGTAAAAGTGGCTTTATTTATTTCATTATCTATTTAATAACCTATTTCGCTTTACGGTATCCACATAGTATTATAATAACATAATATTATATTCACATTTTAGATAAGACATTATAATTATTTTTACATCTTGCCTACCTCCGAATCAAATGCACGCTTATGAGTGCACATCTCATACAATAAGCAACCGAGTGCCCAAACGTCGCTTTTGGTATCATAAGGTTTACCCTCACAAAGTTCAGGTGCAAGATAATAAGGTGTACCAATTACTGTTGAAGTTTTCTTTGCACTGAAATAAGAAATCATTACATGCCTCATCATAGTATTTTAATCGCAATAGTTAACCTACTCCTATCAACTCCATCGTTACAGACCATCAAAGTACACTGAACATGGAATCTCCTTAAAAATGCCATATAGCACATATCTAAGCTACCTGAATCGTTGGATGTACCGGTCGTACCTACTCAGTCTTGGAGAAATAGCTTTACACTGCATTTGCCAATATATACCCCTTTCGAGAACCTTCCTTCCCTACCGGTTGTAGATTTTTAGAGCTATACGGCCTACTTCCACATAAGCCTACTAATTCGTTGGCTTAAGTACGTCAGCTTCCTCGTACGGCCAGAATAAAGGATACCTATCCGTCAAACAAAGCACCCAAGCAGCATTGGCGTAGCTTGGGGAATGGTGGGGGGACACGATTTTTCAATATGAAATTTAGAAAAAATTAACTCTAAATCGCGCCCGCAATGTAACGTGCCAAGCGAAACCACAAGGGTGCGAAGAGAGGAGGCGAGATGAACTCGAATGCTGGCGACAACCCAGTTATTCAGGCACATGTCTCACCACCGGCGATGAGCGAGAAGCGAGTAGAACTAGAAACTTGAAACAATTTGGCGAGCAGCGAGAAGCGACGGACGATACGCGCGCCACTCGCTGAGCGCGTGCTACTACAACACACAAATGCTATCATAAAATACATCATCATCGTCGTCTGAACTAGACAAGATCTAATGATTACTCTAAATTCATAACAATGCGTGCACTCAGATCCACACTAGTAAAAAATGACCGCTGGTTCGTCTCACGGTGTGTGTTCTGACTGCCAAGCGACTATCGCTTATAGATGTGCCAACTCGTTCCGACTCGAGTTGAAATTTACGCAACTCGAGTTAACAATACGGAACAGAGTAAATAATTTGTTACAAATTAATTATTTTTAAATTTATTTTTCTATCTAGCTCGTTGGTGGGTTGGGATAACTATAATTACCAAACTTATTACGTAGGTAGGCTTTAAATAAAAAGGTATATTTAGTATGTATCACATACTTATGTATTTTTGATTTTAATCTTAGTTGCAATAAGTACCTGCATTTAGCAACAAAACTAGCTATATAGCAGTTTTCACGAATCAATATTAGTCTAGCCTTAAGATGTAGGTACATAAGCTATTAGTAGTTTAATTATCACAGTTAAAATATTATTAAGTAATTTTTGTTAGAAGTTTGCGGTATTTTGTGTCCTGAAAAGAAAAATGAATTTGAAAAAATTAGTTTGTCAAGACGATCTGTTGTTTGACGTATAGAAATGATGGCTAATGATATAAAAACAACATTGACTGACCGCATGGCTGGTTTTGAATCATTTTCCATAGCATTAGACGAGAGCACCGATTTGTCTGACACAGCTCAACTGGCTATATTTATTCGAGGTATTGATAAGGAGTTCATTGTTACTGAGGAATTGTTTGCTTTACAGCCGCTAAAAGGAACCACTACAGGAGAGAATATTTTATTGAAGTTCAAAAGGTATTCATAAGTTTTGACTTGCCATGGTCAAAATTAATTGGAGTATGCACTGATGGTGCACCTTCTATGGTCGGCTTAAGTAAAGGTTTCATCGGAATTTTGAATAAAAAAGCAACAGAATTAAATGTACAAAAAGATGATTTGATAGCCCTTCATTGCATTATCCACCAACAGGACTTGTGTTCTAAGTCCATTTGACTCCAGAATGTTATGAATGTTGTAGTAAAAACCATCAACTTTATTCGATCCCGAGGGCTTAACCATCGTCAGTTTAAGGCGTTTTTGGATGAATTATCAGCTGAATATAACGACGTAACATATTATTGTGAAATCAGTTGGCTGAGCAAAAGAAAAATGTTGAAACGGTTTTACGAGCTTAGAAATAAGATAGCAGACTTTATGAAAATAAAAGATAAACCACTATCTGAATTAAGTGACCCAAAATGGATATGTGACTTGGCATTTCTGATCGAACTTACAGGCTATTTGAATGATTTAAATTTGAAAATTCAAAAACAAGGACAATTAGTAAATGATTTGTACCTACATCCATTTCAAAGCATTTCAGATCAAACTACGCTTGTGGGAGTCATAGATGCTGTCTGGTAACAGTTACCATTTCTACACGCTCTCTGTGTATGAAAATATTGCTTATGCTCAATATGCTGAAGAACTCAAGTTACTGTCGGAACTATTTTCGAACAGATTTAGCGATTTCAAAAACATGGAAGACTGTTTCAGTTTATTTGCTACTCCTACAAAATATAATGTACAAAATGCTCCAATGCACTTACAAATGGAGTTGATCGAGATTCAAAAACACTAACTCCTAAAATCCAAATTTGAAGACGTAGAGTTGTCCGATTGATGAAAGTTAATAAATCAACACATCGTACAAGACTGACTGACGATAATTTGGAAAATTCTTTACGTCTTTGTATCAGTGGAATTAATCCAAATATTGATGGATTAGTTTCCTAAATTCAAGCTCAAGTGTATCATTGATTTCGGTGTATTTAACTCTCGTAGTTTGTAACAATTGCAAATTTAACGATTTAATTATAATGTACCATTTTATTAAATTTCATTTTGTTATTTTAATAAATTGTACTATAATAACATTGTCGTATTATTTCATGCCTAATATCTATTATCGCAATAAATATTATCACTACCTACTTTAAAATGCATTAAGTACCTACTTTTAAACGCGGCCCGCGAATGTATTTGCACGCTAAAGTTTGGCCCTCAACATGTCAAAGGTTCCTTTTACCTGTATTTTATATGTAGTTAAAAATATTTTATCATGTACAATTAAGTTAATCATTTTCATTCTTTAAAAGCTTATATTATATCTTAGGAAATAATCATTAATAGAGAGGTTTAATCATAGATTTTTTTTCACGTATACGAATACAAGTTTAATAAAATTATACGAAAACCACACTTTTGAAAAAAAATTGTATCTACTTTTAAAAATATGTTTTTTATAATATATTTCACCATTATATTTTAAAACATATATTTTATACAATTTAAAGAATTTATATTGCCATATATGTACGTTTCTGATACATATGAAGATTTTAAATATAAAATAATATTAAAATACATAGTTTTAAATAAATGATAAAAGATATACTTAAGAGCTAAAATATATAAATATATATCAAATCGTCAAAAATGTATATATTGATTCATATATTTCTTCAGTATATGGTTTTTTCACACGGGTGTTGAAATTCCGGTCGGCCCCGGGCGGTGAAATCCTACGCTACGCCACTGCCAAGCAGGTTGGATATTTTCATAATGCCAGTTCAATAATGGATGTATTAGACGATATTATAATAGTTTAAATATCTAACTATGTATATAAGTCCATCGAAATATTGCATGTTATTCACAGGTGCTCGCTGTAGGTACTATGCAAATATAATCTAAAAATTTATTGTTACTATAATAGCCCTTTTTAAATTAATATAATAATAACTGCAAGCATTGAATGGGAGGTTCTAGTTATTTAAATTAATGACAACATCCAACACTTGATATTTAAGTATACCCTTGAGAGTTTTCTGATATTGGATAGTTCAAATATTTAGCAGAATTATGTAGAGTTAGAGATTCAGTATATATTACATACTGTGAGATGTTTCGTCTAAATTCTCATCGGTGTCTACGCATTCTTTTAATTTTTTTAAGTTTATTGCAGATGTGCATAGGCTGCAGGTTCTATTTACCATCAGATGCAGCTTATTTGACACTCCCCAATTTAAGGCATAATAGCGAAACAAAAAAAGTAGTTAAGTACGTACTCGTACTCGTTTGTTAAACATTACTCGTATTAGTTTAACTCTAGTCAGTTCATTGGCTATGTTAATGCTAGATAGCGTGATGATATATAGTTATTCTAACGGTTCGACCCCTACGTAACTGTATATTGAAAGTCCTCTGGTTTTTGTTCGGTGCTTGTTCACAGATAAACGCACAGACAGACATTTCCAGATTTTTTTTTTGTAAACAGTACTCGTGTGTTAAACAATTTCTGATTCGTTAAAGATTATCTAGTTACGAACTACTACAAATGCTTACCTAGCTAGCATTTTGGAAATACCAAAATCACCAATTTTAACTATGACACCATGTTTTCCGGTTAGAAGAATATTTTCTGCCTTTAGGTCTCTGTGAATTATATCTAAGTTATGTATGTAATTCACTCCCAACAAAACTTGACTGAAATAAAATAAGATCTCCTAAAGAGATAAAAACTTAAAGTTAGTCCATATTCAATATTGTATGAAATATATATAAGATATGATGATAATGAGGAAAATAAAGAATTAGCAATCTTGCCTCTTGTATTATTAATTTTGGACATCGTTCATACATATATTCTGCCAAATTTCCCCTAGTTGCATATTCCATGCAAATCATTACATGATTATCTGGATAATAACAATTATAAAATTTTATTATATTGGGATGATTCATTTTTGATAAAATTTTAACTTCATTAGCAATTTCCTATAAAAAAACACAACATTATAATATAATAACATGTTACCTAATTAAATAGCAAAATATATTAGGTACCTGATTATGATTTTGAACCTTAATATTTAGCTGTATATCCTTCACAATCGTCAAATTTTTTCTTTCTTTTGTCGCACACAAATAAACATTTCTAAAAGTGGAAACAACACGATTGTAGAGTTATATTTTTAAACTATACTGCAAACAGATTAAGCGCTTACGTACCCATAAGTACCTTTTCCTATTGTCCTTATAACTTTTAATTTGTAAAATCTAAATCTTTCAGTAATATCCATGTTTTGCGTCTTTTCTTTATCATTCGGAAAGTAAAACGTTTTAGAAATTGTTATAAAAGTTCATCTACCCACACCTGAAATATAATTATATAAATGGGTACATAGGAGTTACGGTAAAATAACTAGTCTATTCTACGAGTATGATGTTAGTGCTGTTAACCTGTTTGGCTTTTACAGCTTCTTCGGATACAGGGCTAGCGGCCTTTTAGACTGCGAGCTGTTAATGCCGCGAGCTGTTTTAAAATAACTAGTGAAATTTTATCATACCTCCTATAAAATCATCAATAGATTAGATAATAAACATTATCGTTAGCTTAAACCGTTGTTTTTCTACCTGCGGATCGCGACCTCTAGGGGGTTCGCGCGTATTTCAAGTCGTCTTAATAGGGGGGGGGGGGGGGTTAGACTAAAAAAAAACCCCACCTTTTCCCCGCCGGAGGTTTTAGATTAAATGTGGATGTTAAAGATTAAAACTTTTTTGAATTATTTCTGAGAAAAATCGCCTTAATGTTGATCCACACCCTAAGCGTTTTTGAAAGACCTATCTAACGATATCCCACACGATAGAATAGACGGGTAAAAACATCATCCTCCATTTTCCTGTATGAGAGGTATCCAAAATAAAAATGTTTTTTAAGATTTTATTTCACAGTTTTGTAAGCGTGATTAATATCTATAACTATGCCAATTTACTGATTTGTAGCAGCTAGTGTCTCTGAGTAAAACCGCGGACGGACGGACGGACATGGTGAAACTAACTAATTACGGAACCTTAAAAATTAACTGGTTTTCATTAAAATGATAAACTTCTGAGCAAAATATGCGTTGAGAATTTAAAGCTCGAAAGTGCTCTAAGGCGATAGTAAAATGGGCATAAATGCGGAAGTTATAGCAGGATATTTTTCTTGCCTATGGAGACATCCCACCGTACCTCTGCGGTTGTATGGAGCAACGCGTAATTAAGTTTGCCAATGGTGGGAAGAAACGGCGGAGCATCGTATGGTTGAGGCTAGGAAAGAAAAGGTGGAGCATGTGAAACTCATCGGAAATTTGTCGTCTCAAGGATAGCCCTAATTGCAGACGCATGTTGAGTAAAAGTTAATATGACACAAGCTATGATGCTTCCTCTAACGCTCCGACAATTGGTGACCAGCACGATAAAGAAGTCCTGTACTGTAGGGTGAAAAAATAATTAAAAAATAAAACAAATATTCTGTCTAATGTTCCTGATCAGAAAATAAAAGAATTGAGCCACCAGATCATATGTCATTCAAGAAATTTTATGGGTTTAAAAAAAAGTTTGCAAGCAGCTTGAAATTACCAACTGTGCTCTCCTTATTAAGCAATTACTGTGTGGCTACGATTTAAGCAATGTGCCATCTATAATCAAGAACAACGAGCGTAAAGCGTCCCGAAAATTAAAAAGGGTTTTAAATGTTAACATACATGACTGTAGTTTACATATACATACCACAAATTTTCATTTCTGGGTGCTAGTCCTGATGACAAATATGAACCTCGTTCTTTAGAAGTGAAATGTTCCGAGACTAGAGACTAAATGAAACCGAGACTGTCACAAAGATCTTAAAATGTCTGAGAATATGAAAACCACCTTAGTATATGATAAACTGTTTTATAAGTCAAAAGTAAAATAGCAGCTTATATACGTCTTAATTGTGATTCTGCACAGAGCTCCTCATTAACCACAGTGTTTTGTAGGCTGGAAAGAGTTCGCTTCAATGCGTATTAGCTGTTTTCACATGTCCACGAATATTTTAACTACTCAGACATCTAAGCTTCCAAAACTTCTTTCAAGCTTTTAAATTTCCTATACCAGTTTTATTATTCCTCACGGGAATCGTACGGGTTTTGCTCCCGTGCCATAAAGTGTTATGGCGAGCAACACGGCTCTCGTATTTGTTTAAATAAAACTCATAAAAACTGAAAAGAAGCTTCTGCACGATTGTGAACCACATCTACCTAATAATTAGTCATCCAACGATCATTATCATCATCATACATACATACAGCCCTTCACAAGTCCAATAGTAACCATAGGCCTCCCCCATGAAATGTCACAAAGCACATTAATATTTACACAATTAAGAGCGCTGGTATTTAGTCAAAGCGTCTGCCCAGGCCCGGTAGCACTCCTGCTTACAGGTTGCTTGCGTGATGCAACTTTACAGGAGTACCACATCAGCGACAAAATGAACAATAACGTTGGGATCATCCGGCGAGAAGCAAATCCGCCCCCAAGGGTAGGATGCAAAAAAGACCGCATCCTGTCCCCAATCGGACGACTTATAGTGCCAAACACAACGGCAACCTGCAGAACGCAACCACAATGGAAGCGTGAGCGGCACTATACTCCGGATCAGGCAATGGTCCAAAGAGCGAAAAGGGGTGTCGACGGAGACCTGATATCCGTGTGAATGACAGGTTAGCAGAAGGTCCAACAGGAAAGGTACAAAATACTCCACATCTGGAATCCGCGTGGGCGAAGTAACCAGTTGTGTCAGACCATATGCTAAGGCAAAATCATAAACAGATCTCCCCGCATGAACGGGTAAACGTGAACCGAGCCATTCGGCGTCATGGGCGTTAAAATGGTTTAGGCTTATGATCTCTGCAGATGGGATCTGTTGTAGCAAGGAATCTGTAACCACTTGGATGTGGTCGATTTGTCGGTCTGTGTCGGCATTATAACGCTATGGGACCTATAGAGGCACCCATAGACGCGGGGGTGGTCATCGGCCTACTGTGTATTATATCTTGACCTATCTAACTTATTATAACTTATTCTAATTCTATGGTCGCAAGTTATACTTAAATGTTATTTTAAAATTAATGTACCTACTTGAATATTCTTTTTAAATATTTTGCCATTAAAAGAAAATTTGCAATCAACCGAGTAATATAACGTTTTAACAATATACCGTTATCAGCGGGTTTTCGCTATTGGTACAGTGCATGTTGACGGTACGGGCTCGATGCACGATACGATGTACGGAATGTGGTGTATTACTCAATTTCGTGTTCATTGCTAATAAATGCCAACCTAATTAAAAAGTATTTTAATATTTTGTTTTTAAATATCAAAAATGGTAGTTTCTTTAACCTATTACAATCTTTACAGTGGATACCTTGTAAACGACTATTTTCGTTTTTTTTTTTTGTAGTCTGCGTTATAGCATGGTGCGGGTGACTGCTCCCGCCTATGAAGCACAGAACACTAGTACTAGCTTGCTACATATTATATATTTATCTATGACTAATACTCTTAGGCGGGCTATGAAGATTAGTATTTTTTTAGATAAAGTGTCACACAGATATTCACAGCAGATATTGTTGTACTTCATGTAAGGGTACCACCCACTTCCAATAGTGATGTGCCAACCTAAACTATGCTATGCCATAACGAACAACCACAGACTATTAAAAATCGGTTTTGAAATAAGCCGAATATATAAAAATCACGTAAATATGTATTGGAATTGGAACTAATCATTCAACAAATTCTGATAAAAAAACTCACACAGACGAATATGCAGTGTTTCCGATGCATGGACGATAAATTATTCGTTGGTCAGCTCAGGCAAAAATAATAATTATAAAGCAAATTACGCATTGTGTCAAAAAAACTCTATCGCAACTCATGGCGGCCAAAATAGCTACAAAAAACCTAATGGTTTCGTATATTTACGCTAACACTACACATTGAATAAAACTACTTTTACGGATTTTATCGCGGTTAATTAACTTATTTTTGTTATTTTTATTAATTCCCGACATTTCGGGTGCTTTCGAGCACCCATAAATAATAAAAGAAATACATGTTTCGGTTTTAATTTTTATATTGATAGTTAATCGATAATTTTTGCTTTGCTTTGTGTATCGTTAATCGCCTTTTTTAAATTGATTTAACAATGATCCAACTCTAGATATTTTTACGTGGTAGAGCCATGCTGTAGCTATATTAGTAGTATAGTTGTAGCACGAATGGGTCGGCTCGACCGGGGTAGATCCACGCTCTCACAGAATACCAGCATAAAATAGTAGCTGTGTTTCTTATGGTGAGTGTAGAGAACCGGAGACTCTTTTTACTGGAAAAGAGGCATTCCATCTTAGTCCTCACGGGTGACAACGCATCTGCATTTTTAATCTTTATTGAGGATAGATGTGGATGTCTATGGGTCACAGCAACCACTTACCATCAGGTGGACTGTGTGCTCGTTTGTCACCCCATCCTATAAAAAAAAGACACACCAAAACCTGTCACCCACACCATGCTATAACGCAAAGACTTTAGAAGAGACGTAGCTGTACCCCACCCCCGCACCCCACCCCAGCATATGAATTTGGAGTACATATATAAAAAATAGAAAATATTGACAGACGTATTTTAAATAGCACATCTCAAAAATGTTAATTATTTATACTGCACCCATGTAGTTTAGAAATAAAAAATAATTAAATTCGTTCACCTTATAACGTCAATATTACTTCAAATAATTAGAATTGGGTACTTTTTACAGTATAAAAAAGTCAAAAATCACCCAATAATTAACAATAAATTTTTGAGCTTATCATTGCATTTAATGCATTTTTAACAATGGTGCAATTATTTTCAAGCAAGGTGCAGTTTATAGATATATTTGTTTAATTTTGTAAATCACAAATCTTTTTTCTACTTTTTTATGGATATAAACGACTATTAATTTCGATTATAAAACTTTCTTAAAAACTATGGTTTTATAACTGAAATTAGTTTGCATTGTTTACTAAAAAATTTATAGGCAAAGTACACATAGGTACAGTTCAAACCAGTATAATACTTAAATGTATGGAGTGTAGAGTAGAAGGAGGACCATCTCTGTATATGAAAAGTGTCCCTAAAAACGCGTCCAATAAGGGTGGCGCTGCAGTAGCAAAGGATAAATTAAAAAAAAGCGCCAAAATTTATTAGAATAAGATGGAGAAATAAATAAGGACCGACCAATCCGCTTGGTTTTGTACTACGTAAATAGTTGAAGTTTTGTATACTGGCATTTTACTAACTACTCTAGTCATGAAATTTTATAAATATTTTAATTCAGCTGACTTCACTCCGTCTACAACAGCTATATTCATATCGTAGTTTTTCAGACGACAGCGCTATTGTGGTAGGTTTTGGAACCTCTATTTTCAGTATATATTGGGACACTTTTTCAACTTTCGTACCTTATAAGATGGTTCTCCTTCTACTCTACACTCCATACTTAAATGTTAACGTACCGCTTAATGACTTGCACCAGTCATAGAGTTGTCAATTTACCTTTTTGTGCTAACGTATTACAGTTTATAATGGTCAAACAACTCACTCTCTCCGTCTTGCCAAAGCGCGACAGAACATTCTAAATAGTGACCTGCGAAAGAAACGTCTGTACTATGGACTTTCCGAAATCTTCCTGGAACAACCGGCCGTGCCGGCCGAGGTATAATAGAAAGCAGTGTGCGGAATGTGCGACACAGATGTTAGAAAAAGTTAAAAGATGTCTTGAGCACAGAACATATATACCCCTAAAGGGGTCTTGAGTGAATAAGTTGTAAAGATACACTGATACAGTGATACATTCGGATGCGGATGGATATAAAGAGTGATTGATGGAAACGGATTGATTCATATCTTTTGTATCTATCTCTCCTGAGTTACCCATCTCTATAAGACAGTTATTATACTCTTTGCACAGAATACTGTTATGTTAAGCCGATATTACACGGATCAACCAAATTGAAACAATTCCATTGAAAAGCATTGAACATTGCACATTGAACAGCTTTACCAATATACACGTAAATCATTTAAATGCCATTCAATGTTCACAGCGCAATGAGATGTCGCGCCAACAACGGAAATTTCGTTAATCTACTACTATTTAATAAATGAGTTAATAAAAAAAAAACATGCGTGAGTGTCGTGGAACACTCGGTTGGAGCGAAGTTCCTTTCATAGTATATTATTAATGAGAAACGTATTATATTATTGATAAATAAAATATATAGAAATAAATAAATAACTAGCGTCTATTAAAATGAAGCGTCATTTAAAATAAAAAATGAAGTTCCTTTCGTAGTATATTATTATTGATAAACGTATTATATTATTGATTAACAAATACAAACAAATAAATAATACAAATAAAAAAATTTTGCACACTGTGACACAAGGGGTAGTGACGAAAATATCTTACACTTCTTGTCGCCTAGCTCCCATGCGCCAAACTCGTACCGTCCGTTCAAACTTCGTTCCAAAAAAAGAAACTCTCTGCGTTGGTGGGTGTGCCCGGGGATTTTGAGAAGGATAACTAAAGGAGCCTCAAGCACCTTATTAGTATAATTGGCAGAAGATCCAAATTCTTATTTGAACCATTTGCGAATGACAGAGTGTCAATATAATAGAACTTCTGAAAACCCATTTTCACGCCACAAAATATATGTGTGCACGCAAAATAGGTGTCGTGCGGTGCGTGGAGTGAGTCATCTTACAATCTTCATGTATACACGTTTCAACCGCATTGAACAATGACCAATATTGCTACCATTGCATTGAAAGCGTTCGTTGAATCTAAGCTTTCAATGAGATTATGCGATCGCATTGAAATGTATTTAGATGTATCAATGCCATTGAAGCAATGAAATTGAAAGCAGTATTGAACCGAAATTGATCCGTGTAATATCGGCTTTATTGGCGAGTACATTGCAATTTGGGTAACTCGAATGAAGTTGAAACCGTATACTTTACTTTTTCCATTGACTTTATTACACAAAACTGTAATTATTTTATATGATAAATAATAATACAGTTTTGTATAACACAATAATTTTTTCCCTGGAGTACCTACGAGTTTTTTGATATCACTCGAGTCACTTAAGCAAAATCAAAGTACCTACTCGAATCGTGTTTCTATATAGTTTGTGCTCGAATCTCATCACCAGTGTCTTCTTGTCAGTGTGACCATATGTGGCAGGTTCCTGCCATTTTGGCAGGATTGGCCTCTTATTTTAGCCTCTGGCATGATCGGTTGACGTTTTATAAAACCTGGCAGTATTTGGCAGTATTGGGGTATTAAAAATAGATTTCATTATGGCAACTTAAAATGACGAAAATGGCAGACCTAGATACTTTGCCAGCATGTTGGGGATTTTCCTGTATTTCTCGATTACTTTTATTATGTTTGTATCACATTCAATAAAGAACTTTAAATTTTTTTTGTGTATAAAGTTGATAATCTTAAAACGAATTTACACGCGTTGGTTAATATTTCAATCAGTCATAAAAGAGACGTACTTTAGTTTGGTATCGCCTTAGATTTCATGATCCTCGAAATGTTATTAACAAGATGTTAATAATATTTCGTGGACGATAGTAATTATACGTAGCGGTGATGAAGCGAAAATATGAAAGAGCGTATAGAGGGAAGTGGGAGCAAGATGTTTTATTTTCATCATAGATCTCCAAAGCTAAAGATGATCGAGACTGTGTAACTGCCATTTGGCTGTCCGCTTTAAGGGAACATGCCCCTACTAGTAAATATCAAAAATATGAGTGAATTCAACATGCGAAAGAATATTCTCTCAAATAAATTTAATTAAGACAAAAACACGAAATAGACTTATAAACAAACACTTACTGTCGGTCTTGTACATTAAACAAGGCATTGGTGAGCATGGCGATTGCATTGTATTCAAACGTTTTATAAAAAAAAAAGGAAAAAAACCAACGAAAGATATGGGCTTAGCTTTCCATTGACGTCAGTGGAGTTTGGTGTTGATACGTATTTTTACAGAAAGATTACACTATTATAAGCACACACACAAAGTCTCAATATACGGAAACGCGTAATTTTTGAGAAAAGAATAATTGAAAATCAATTATTCTTGCAATGTTTATGTCTAATCTGCTAATAAACTGGCGCCATTTTGTAATGTCATTGTCGACGTCAATAGGGATGTCGATTCTTTCCGAAAAAGATCGATTTTTAAATCGATTCAAATCGTAAGCTGATGTATCGGTTCACAAAAAATCGATTTCTAAAATATCTATATTTTTTAATATTTCTATTTATAATGTAAATATAAACCCATTTTATGAAAAACAAGAAAGATACCGTGATAAATGATCTCTTATTGAAATTTGTTTTATTTAACAGTACCTATTAGGGCAGATAACAAATAAAATAGGTTAGGTTCAACTTATGTCAAAGAACCGAATTGATTGACCCCGACTCCACCTGGTACGAGTCTGTCCTACCCCTAGAGTGGTTTTATAGAGCCGGAGGCGCGTAGGGGGAGCAGCCTCCGCCTGCTGTAACAAATCATAGTCATCGGACGAGCCGGAGCGGCTGAGGCTGGTCGCCGAAGGCGACCAACAAGCCGAAGCTGCGGAGGCGAGGAGGGATGCCTGCGATTTGTTACGCTAAGGCGTAGAGGTTGCTCTTCCCGCAGCGCCGGAGACGTAGCAGTCTCAAAATAAATACAGAAATCCTTATGAATCAGTCCCCTTATTTTTTTATGATGAAGGGGATTTTTTTTCTCATAAAATGGATTTATATTTACATTATAAATGCAAACATGAAAAAAATATCGATATTTTAGAAATCGATTTTTCGGGAATCGATACATCAGCTTACGATTTGAATCGATTTAAAAATCGACCTTTTTCGGAAAGAATCGACATCCCTATTGACGTCGATAATGACATTACAAAATGGCGCCAGTTTATTAGCAGATTAGACATAAACATTGCAAGAATAATTGATTTTCAATTATTTTTTTCTCAAAAATTACGCGTTTCCGTATATTGAGACTTTGTGTGTGTGCTTATAACAGTGTAATCTTTCTGTAAAAATACGTATCAACACCATACTCTACTGACGTCAATAGAAAGTCGTACCGTAAATAAAGTTGGCAGTATTTAGGCATTTTTCACTACAGACTTTGGCAGGATTTGGCAGGTTTTTAACCAAAGTACGGCAGGATCTGTATTTTAAAGATGGTCACCCTGCGTTCTTGTTCTGTGCTACTCATGTCATAAACTCATAGAGCCATAGAGTAGAGTACACAAAATAAAAATATATATAGTACGTAGTATGTATGTACGTATATAGATAAAAATTAAAATACTTTATAAACAAGGAGTATTACAAAAAATAGTCCTTGAAAATTCTCAAAGGTAACCGTGTGGCCTTGAGCCTACAGTTTCAATTTCTCTGGAAGTGGAACAATTAATTCAACAATGGGGCAAATATTGGGTTCATATAACGCTAGAAATGTAGATCTATACATGGACGATAAGCCTACTTTCAATCATCAAGACGGATTTTCTTTCGAACGAAAACAACGAGGTACGTTTTTGTTCGTTATCTTTCCATTACATAAAACAAAAGATACTTTAGTGAAAATAAATCGTCATTTGTCACAACACTTGTTTTTAGTAGGTACATTCTCTATTGTTACATAATTTAACAGAGGTTAATCGCCTTGTCATTTTAATATTAACTACAATTTTCTTTTAAAATGCTTGTTGTAGTTTAGTTTCTGGTCTTTTTTAGAAATGATAGCACGAGAGGAAGACTTGATTTCTGCTAGAATCCCCCCAGTAAAGCGCGACTATTGTGCTCATTATTTACTGGAATACCAACAGTGCCGATATAAAAATATGCCAATGCTGTACAGATGTGCTCATGAGAAACACGACTATTTGAATTGTGAACAGCAGGAGTAAGTTTCATGCATGCAACTACCTATGTATTTCTTCTAATTACAAACTAAGTGGGAACATAAGCTATGTTAGGATGTATTATTAAAGATCCATGGCCTCCACACGGCTCTCCACATTATTCAACAATCTTTTAAAATCTCATTAAAATTATGCAATTTTATGTGTTTGCCTGCCTCATTTTCACAAGTTTTATTAAATAGTGTGATGTGATGACTTGTTGATGCCAATGTTTAAAGACCAAACTATTTGAATTTTTATATGCCATTTAATGACTGTATTAATAATATTGGGAATACTGGGTTCTTTCATTTATCATGGTGCCAATGACATGGAAATATAAACTATATTTTTTTGTATTAATTGATATTTAAAAATTATTAATAATTTAAGTTATTAGTTGTTACATACACAAATGAAAGTTTGTTGCACAAATCCTATGCCAGTATTGACATTAGGTCATATTTACCTATTTTGACTTGATATGTTGTGGTTAACACCTAGTGTGTGTGCTACCCTGACTAAACCAGCTTTTTGGACCAAAGCTTAAGAGAGGCATATAAAATATATTATAATAAGACAATTTGAACTTAATAATGGCAGCTTTACCTTGTAGTTTAATAAATTCTAAGTAAAGTAAAATCTACCATTTTTGTAATAATTACTACTAAAATTATAAATGTTTAATAATAAAATAAATTTCTTTTACAGTTATGTCCTGCGTATGAAAGAATTTGAACGTGAACGTCGCCTTAGGGTTCGGGAAAGACGTCTTGTTGGTGTGGCATAAATGTATTAGAAATCAATTCTCAAAATTGTAAATAAATAGTTTGAAAGTTATATTTTTTGATTTGTAATTGTAATACACTTAAATGCTTATTCAACTTTGAAGAATTTTGCTTAAACAAGCAATTATCATCATTATGATCAGCCTTTATCAGTCAGGGCAATTTTTTGTAAACTGATGTGACGAACTGTACTAAGATACAATGCTTCACATCCTCTAATTATACTGGCTATCTATATTCTAAACTGGAACACAGCAGTGCTGTGTTCCAGTTAAAAATATAGATAGCAGATACTATAAGTATATATATAGGTTTTTTTATAGGTGTGTTACTTGTTACATGTCATGATATATTGAAATCTTAGCTAGCACTTACTAACAGACTCATAAGTCCAGTAACTGTTGGTATAGGCACCAAGTCGGCGTACTGCCCAGACTTCAACACTAGGTATAGGCACCAAGTTTGCATACCTCCCAGTGGCTGTTGATATAGCTGTGTTCCAGTTAAAAATATAGATAGCAGATACTATAAGTATATATATAGGTTTTTTATAGGCGTGTTACTTGTTACATGTCATGATATATTGAAATCTTAGCTAGCACTTACTAACAGACTCATAAGTCCAGTAACTGTTGGTATAGGCACCAAGTCGGCGTACTGCCCAGACTTCAACACTAGGTATAGGCACCAAGTTTGCATACCTCCCAGTGGCTGTTGATATAGGCACAAAGCATAGAGCAATACCGGCGTTTCGGAGGGGAGTAGCCATACGCAGGCAGTGTTGCCAATTTAGCAACTTTGTCGCTAGAAGTGGTAACTAAGTTTTAGCGACAAAAAAGATTTAATGACAAAAATGGTTTAGCGACTTATGTGACGACTTTTGGAATACAAATCAAAACAATTTTAGTGCCAGTAATAGATATATTTTTTGTTAACTCTACACATATATAAACAGTGCCAAGAGATATATATATATATAGAAAATGCAATTGTGCTTGCGCGCCAAATTCAAACTATTTAATTAAGGTTGCAGTCATATATGCTCCAGCTTTAGCTATTTAAGAAAATTCAAATCTAAACATCCAATTGTTTTTCAAATCTAAGTTTTACATTTATTTTTTTAAAAACTAGCTCTAGTTAAATAATTTTTTTTGAATGCATTCGGAAATCATCTTATTGAAACAACGATTTATGTGATTGTTACAATGGTTGCAATATATTTAATTAAACATCAGTATTTTTATATGTATTTAAATTATAATTAAATTACCGCCACAAGCCTAAGCCTCTTGTGCCCCTCCCAGAACAAAGTCCGGTCCGTTCCTAGTAGAATCAATTTTAGCGTCTTTTGATATTGAGTCTAGGGGCCTTGAATTTATAAGAGTTGGCAAAACTGCGCAAGCGTTTCCCTCTGTCAAAGTATAATTTCACACGCGGCCCTATGCCAAAGAAAATATAATGCATTCAATAAAACTAGTTATAGCCGCACTCACAGAGTACTTTTTATATAGGCCGGACTGCTTACTAGACTAAATCTAGTTGCGCGGCTGAATCAATGTCCTACAAAATGCCGAATTATTCAGAACTTTCCTGCCAAAAGAGATCTGTCGCGTCAAATTTACCTTTCATGTATAAGTAATTCTTAATCACATTATTGCTATTTACTTCTTTTTAAATTAAAAATAACAATAATAACGGTCGTGTTGCTTCGGATTTGTTTACAAACACAGGCGGCCCGCCCTCTTCCTCATATAATACACAGACTACTAGTCAAACTACTAGTAGATTCTACACGAATATACAATATGCGGATAGGTCGAGCGACTGATCCAAGTTAAGACTATACTATTGTCACCATAGAGATATTATGGAGTGTAAAGTACAAGGAGAACCATCTTATAAGGCCGGCCATATACATACGGAATTCCGTTTCGGAATCCCGAATCGGGATTCCGTTAATACATCACACACACACGTTTTTTTTCCGTTCGGAATAACAAGGGTCAGTTGAGAGACGTTAGCCATTGAGTCTAGACATTCTGCCAGCTAATACTGATGACGATTTTCTGGTTGCGATTCCATTGTTCTTACTAGGTGCATCCCCTTATCACCCTAAGCTTGCAATATAGTCAAGACTATGTAAAAAGATCTATCTATGCAGAGATATTTTTTAAATATTTATGTATGTAAATTCTATCGACGAAATATTAAATAAAATAAGATGAAAGGTTACGAAAAGCTATACACCTACAAGATTAAATATAAAAACATACATAAATACACCTACTCGCTTCGGTCGTGCGACGAACACTGAGCGCATTCCGTACGGAATTTACGTAAGTGTGTTGCGACTCGTACAAAATCTATGAAAGACGTGCGTTCGGAGCGGCTTTTTTCCGTTCGGGATCCCGAACGCACAGGCGGTCATACGGAATCTCGAATCGGAGAAATTCCGTACGGAAAAATAACGTACGTGTGTGGCGGGTCATAGATTTTATATGGACTTGCTGCGTTCGAAATTCCGCATCGGAATATCGAAACAGAATCCCGAAACGGAATTCCGTATGTATGTGGCCGACCTAAGGGGCGAGAGTTGAAAAAGTGGCCTACTATTTACTGAAAATAGAGGTTCCAAAACCTAGCACAATACCGCTGGCGTCTGAAAAACTACGATATGAAGATAGCTGTTGTGAACGGAGTGAAGTCAGCTGAATTCAAATATTTAAAAAAAATCATGACTAGAGTAGTTAGTAAAATGCCAGTATACAAAGTACTACTATACTATTTACGTAGTACAAAACCAAGCGGATTGGTCGGTCTTTGTTTATTTCTCCATCTTATTCTAATTACTTTTGGCGCTTTTTTTTTAATTTATCCTATGCTACTGCAGCGCCACCCTTATTGGACACGTTTTTAGGGACACTTTTCATTATATAGAGATGGTCTTCCTTCTCTCTAAGAGATATATACCTAAAGTCAGTGATTGTCACCGAGCGATACTGTTATAATGTATCTGTGTGTGTGAAATTATTAGTTCATTGTTTTATTTGAATTTCGTAGTAACAGACGTTTGTTTTTGTGTGCGTGAGAGCTGTACAAAAACGACAGACAGTTTTGTATCGGGAAAAAAATTATCATATTATTTATATATATAATAAATTTATATTTTCTTTTAATTATAAGACATATGATAAAGTAATAAAAAATAGATAAAAATGAGCATGTAGGTATATCGATGTTGGTTGTCGCTAGGCTTGCCAACTCCAAAAAAGGCGTTTCCGGGATTACCCAGCTCGACATCCGGGACTTGGGTATATTACGCGGGACACAACACACCACATACGAGGGCTGCACTAAAAGTAACGGGAATGGAATATTTCCACTGTTCCTGTCATATTAAAATCTTTTTTATTGAAAAGTCCTTGGTTTTAAAAATCGAATACCATTTATTTATTTAAAAAAAGATTCTCGGTCTTGTCACAAGGTTTTATCAAACTTGTTTAGTCGTTGAGAAAATGGAATTGACTGGAGAAAATTCAAGAGCGATGATTTATTATGACTTTCGAAGTGGCTTAACACAAAAACAGTGTGTTGACCGGATGATTTCTGCATTTGGTGATGAAGCCCCATCCAAAACCACAATTTATCGCTGGTTTGCTGAATTTCAACGTGGACGTGTCAAGCTCAGTGATGATCCCCGTCAAGGTCGTCCAAAAACTGCAGTCACCCAAGAAAACGTTGATGCTGTGCGTAAGCTGATTGAGGAAGATCGACATGTGACATACCGCGAAATTCAGGCAACTTTAGACATTGGCTTGAGTCAAATACAAATAATCTTGGATGAACAATTAGGTGTAAAAAAGTTGTTTTCCCGATGGATACCGAATACGCTCTGTGAAGAGCAAAAAGCGGCTCGCGTTACTTGGTGCGTCAGAACTCTCGAAAGATTCCACACAGGATTCTCAAATGCTGTATACAATATCGTATCAGGTGACGAATCCTGGATATATGCGGACGATCCCGAAAAAAAACCAGTCACGAGTTTGGGTGTTCGAAAATGAGTTAAAGCCAACAAAAATTGTTCGTTCACGGAGTGTTGCAAAAAAAATGGTGGCCACGTTTGTCTCCAAAACCGGCCATGTTACGACTATTCATCTTGAGGGACAAAGAAAGGTTAATGCAGAATGGTATGCTATCATTTGTTTGCCACAGGTCGTTTGTGAACTCCGTAAAGAGAACTGCAACCGCCGCATCATCCTCCATCACGACAATGCGAGTTCTCACACCGCACACAGAACAAAAGAGTTTTTAGAGCAAAAAAACATAGAATTATTAGACCATCCGCCGTACAGCCCCGACCTAAGCCCTAATGATTTCTATACTTTCCCTAAAATAAAGAATAAATTGCGTGAACAGATATTTTCATCACCTGAAGAAGCTGTGGACGCCTACAAAACGGCCATTTTGGAGACCCCAACTTCCGAATGGAATGGTTGCTTCAATGATTGGTTCCATCGTATGGAAAAATGTGTCAAATTTCGCGGCCAATACTTCGAAAAGCAATAAATACATTTTTAAATAGTAATGTTGTGTCACTTCCTTGATTCCCGAAATTTTCAGTGCCGCCCTCTTACAAATTGGTTAGAAAAAAAAAAACACATGGGTTATATGATTCACTGCATTTTTGATCAAAATTAATGTTAATTTGTAGTTCAACCTTGACGTGGCCAACAAACAGCTTATTTCTGCTGTCTGTCCATGCATTTCCACAGAGAGAAATCACTCTCTGCTGATGTATTTGAAAGTGGTATCGAAGCTACGGCTAAGGTGCAGTTTTTACGAGATAGTTACTAATATCATATAATCACTAATTTCCGGGACAAAAGGCGTCCCGCAAGGAATTACGGCCGTTCCAAAATTGACCCAGAAGCGGAACGTCTCGGATAATCCGGGGCGGTTGGCAAGCCTAGTCACACCGTTCAAGCGCGCGCTGTTGAAACTT